AAAAACAAAAACCGGGCAAAGCATCAGCTCAAACGCGCCTGATGATCATTTGCATGTTTTTTTTTTTTTTTTTTTTTTTATCCTGCTTCTTTCTTCTTTGTTTCTTGTTCTTCTAATTCTTCTTCTTCTTTTTTTTTTCTTCTTTATTTCTTCTTCTTTGTTTCTTGTTCTTCTAATTCTTCTTCTTCTTATTGTTTTTCTTGTTTCTTTGTTCTTCATCGTTTTTTTTTTTCTTCATCTTCTTCTTTTTCTTCTTGTTTCTTTTTTCTTCATCTTCTTGTTTTTTCTTCTTCTTCTTTTTTATTTTATTTTATTTTATTTTTAGGTGGTTGATGTTCACCCCTTTGGAGATGTTCTACTTTTTAAGTAGGGAGATTATACTCGTCTCTTGAGATGGGACGTGCACCCACTTGGGGTTGAAAAGTAAGGGTGATGCCCGCCATGGGATGGGGATGTTCTATTTTTTGAGTAGGGAGATTATACTCGTCTCTTGAGATGAGATGTGCACCCACTTGGGGTTGAAAGGTAAGGGTGATGCCCACCATGGGATGAGATAACCCCCTACTCTAGAATGAGGCGCTCGAGACCTAGGTCTGAGGTGGATGCGCACGGTTGTGCCCTTGCTTCAGTGGCAACACGAGTTGAAACTTTCGCGGTCGTACGCTGAAGGTCCTTATCGGTTATTTGAACCGTTAGATGAGCAAGTAGAATTTGATCTTGTTAAAGGTTCGGCGATCATACGCTGAAGGTCTTCTTCGGTTATCTGAACCGTTCGAGGGGGCGAAGGTAGGCCTCCATGGGGTCGATAACCCTTGGTGAACGAAATATTTTGGGGGCACTATAAACCCCCAGATTTTATGTTGACTTGAGCTAATAATTATGTGTTGAAAGAGCGATAACACCGAGAGTAAAGAAAATAACTAGCTTTATTCATTGATTGAAAATGTGAAGCTTCGAGCCTACTTGAGGCGAAGGTACATAAACAAGTAGGGAGCGAATCGCTCGAAATAAATAAACTTGTACTAAGTAGATGATGTAAGTGTTTCGTTCAATTGATGTCGAGAGGTGAGGGGATGTATCATCTGTAAGGTATGATAGCCCCCCAGTTTAGGATGATGTGATCACGAACAATGTTATGGGCTCGATAGACTCCAAGTGTCATTGACATCATTGGAAGTATAAGGAGATTATCAATGAGATGTTGACGATTGTCGTCGGCCATCTCGTCGCCGGGTGTTGAAGTAATCTTCATCTCTTTTCCTCTTGGGAGGAGGGAGGGCCGAAGCCTCTTCGATACGCACGTGTTTCTCAGCGCGACTTAGTAACTCTTCCAGAGTGGTTGGAGGTCTTCCTGCAATAGATTCTTTGAATCTACCTTCCTTTAAGTTTTGTTGAATGATTCCAGCGAGCATGCTTCCTCCCACGTTAGGAACTTTGTGAGATGCCTCTACAAATCGTTGAATGTAGTTGCGGAGGGTCTCGCCCTCTCTCTGGGTGATAGTGAAGAGGTACGCGGGAGTCTTTGCGTACTCTTTGTTGATAGCGAAATGGTGGGTGAAGCGATCTGTTAGTTGGGAGAGAGCTTCAATCGACCCAGTGGGCAAGGAGTTGAACCAGCTCAAGGCTCGTTCGGAGAGCGTTGTGCGAAACATCTTGCACATTGCCGCATCAGTTGGGCCATATAGATCTGCCATGGCGTAGAACTTTTCAAGGTGCTCCTGTGGGTCACCAGTTCCATCGAACTGCGGTAGACTCGAGACCTTTACCCGTTGGGGGAGTATCTCATTGATTATTGCGACAGTGAAGGGATTGTGCCTTATTGGAGGTATTGTCCTTCCACCAATGGTATTACCTATGTGGGGAAGGTGATTTGAGCGAGATAGCTGACTGCTAATTTCCACCTCTCCACCATTGTATGGAGGAGCTCGTTGGTGAGAGGTGTTGCCTCTTGAAGGTGAACGTGGGTTTCGTCGCTCAGTTCGTGCATCTTGGCGATGAGTAGATTGTTGCATTCGGGACCGTGGGTCCGAAGTAGAGGAGGAGACACTTATTTGGTTCTGGACTGGCGGTGGTGCCATAGGTGGCTCCACAGGTGGATAAGGTGCTGGTATCGCGTTGGGAGCATTTGCTCCCATCGTGGCGATGTATTGGGTCACGGCCTCTGTGGCGGCGCGAGTTGAGGCTTCTGCTATCATGCGCTGGAGCGCATCCTCGGTTATTTCAACCGTTCGAGGAGCAGGGAGTGGCGGATCGGCGAGTGGTGGGTCCCGAGGGGGGATCACCTGAACCTCGCGAGGCGGATCCGCGGCACGTGGAGGAGGTGGCAAGCCAGAGCCTCCACGGACTGGGAGGTTGTTAGCTGTGTCATTTTCTCTCCGAGCAGATGCCTCAGGAGGATCTTGATGGCTACGTGATCTGGTTTGCATCGTTCCCACAGACGGCGCCAAAATGATGATGCTAATTATTTAGATCACCTGGGATGGTGTAGAAAATGAGCTGGGAGAGCAAAGCAGATCAGTAGCTTGACAACTTGATGATCCTGAGGTACCTGCGAAATGAACACACGTGAACTACGCCGGGGGTTGATCCGGCGGAAACCCCTCCGACGCTCAAGTCAGACGTGCTGATCATAGAAATAGTCCAGAGAATACGTATTGTAGTATTGCTCAGTTAATAGGACGTACCTTAAGGAATGAGTTCAGACCTTTATTTATAGCTTAGTTGAGATTGTCGGGCCCAAACCTTACTTGAAGGTGATTGGGCCTCGATGATAGTGGTCTTCGATATTGGGCTCGTGGCCCAGTAGGTAAAGAAATTGGAGGCCCATTGGGTTGGCCCAATTAGGCATATCAGTAACCATCTAACGAGGTTGGTCTTTGTAGGCATTGGCTATACTCTGGATCCATATTTTTCATTCGTTAAGATTGCAGCGCCATACGCACAGGTTCGGTTCTCTACATTATTATTAGTTGTTGTGCAGTTATTTTTAACTCTAACTCAATTTTTACATACAATACAGGAGCTCTTATTTGAGAGACTTAATCAGCGCACAGGAACACAAGTTATTTGAGAAAGAAGGCATAGGGGAAACAACAAACCCTATAAATGTCCGTCTTCAATTTTTTTCCCTTTTTCTTTCGTTCCCAGGGCTGCGATTTTTTAGGGCGGTGCCGATACTGGCTAAGCGTTGATGGTAGGGGTGGTGACGATGGGGAGCAAATCTAGGATTTTTTGGGTAGATTGCGCCGGTGGATGATGTGGACGGAGGAAGTTCACGCATATTGAATCCTTAATCGACTATGTGCTAGTAGTCGATTAAGGTTAATCGACTATGTTCCAGTAGTTGATTAAGGTTAATCGACTACATTTTTAATTCAATTTTTGGATTTTGTTTATTGTTTCTTTATTTTGCCAATATAGTTGGACTTGGGGGCATAGAGATGGTGTATTTTTGTCCTACCATTACCAATCCATCATCCGATTGGTATAAATCAATTACAATTTTATATATTTTGTTGTTTTGTAAAGATAGTTGGTTTTCATTTTTTTGTAGTTGTTTTTGTTATTCATTTCGGTTGGGCTTCTTTTTGTTGAATCGTGTTAGGTTTCATTAACGGCATTATAGTCGTTTTTGTTACTTTTTGTGGTCAATTTGATTATTCAACCACGGTTTTAGTAGTCAGTCTCTTAATCGACTATGTCCAGTAGTCGATTAAGGTTAATCGATTCCAATTTTAAATTTTTGGATTTTTTGTTTATTGATTTCAATTATATAAATCAATTATAATGACTCGGCTTCATAGACGATTAATATACATTTAAAAAACAAAATTACAATTTAAAAAAATTTAAAAACTAATTTTTTTTTGTAAAGAATTTGCTTAATCGACTATCATTTTTCCTAAATCGACTATGCTCCATAGTCGATTTATAAAAAAATAAAAAAATAAAAAATAAAATAAAAAACGGAAAAAAGCGGAAAAACGGCTGATGACCAGGCGTGACGCAATGATGATGTGGGCGGGGCCAAAATTGGAAAGCATATAATAGTTGGAAATGGGTGTGGGCTTTTCTCAAATAGAACAAAATATTTTGGGCCTCTCTCTATTAAAAGAAGTAATGAGGGGGTTTCCTCAAAGAGCCCCTTGTATAAATTGTATTTTGTTTGCTGAGGGGTATTTTAGTACTTTGCTAATAAAAAAAATTATTTCTGGTATTAAACTAAGAAACTATAAAAACTTCTATAAAAAATGGTTTTAAACTCAGTAGTATTAGGGCTCGTTCGGTTACCGATTTTGGATTAGATTGGATTACATGAGATTGGATTAACTCCCTACTGACTAATTAATTATTTAGTTAGTAGCATGTTCGGTTTCTTAGATTAGATTTTCTATTAAATTTGTTAAAATCGGTTATTATATATGAATTGTCTATAAAACCACTTAGTTTACAATAATAAAATATGATTTTAAGGATAAAATTGTATTTTTCCTTTTTAGTCACCCCCTATTAAATTAATCTCGGGGGTAGGGGTGCTACTAATTTAATGAAATAGTAGCATTTAATAGCGGGCTTTCATTTTAGTAGCGGGTTTGAAAAAGTGTGAATCTTACCAACCGGACATGTTATTAGTCCCTACTATTTAGTCAGTAGAACTTTATAGCGGTAACCGAACGAGCCCTAAATGTTTGAAAAATTGGTATAAATTTTAATGGCCCCCTTAAATGTATTCAAAATTTGGATTCTAGAATGTACTGTGTTAATTGTTGAATTTTTTTGCTTGGGCTTTGTACGATGGATCAGAAGAAGATGTGGTGGTGGTGGTGGTGGTGGTGACTGGTGAGCCTGGTGGTGGTGCAGGAGTAGGGGTGGAAATCGGACGGATCGGATCGGATCGGATTTGGGTGTTTCGGAAAATTTCCGATTTTTTTCGGAAGTCCAAAACGCCTTCCAATTCCGATTCCGATTTTTTCGGAATTCAAAAATTGATTCCGATTCCGATTTTTTCGGAATTTTCGTAAAATCGAACCTGTCAA